GACCCACTAGTCTCCATATTATATCTGTAATCATTAACAATGTAGTGTATTATTCATTTATGTTTCTTGTTTCAGACTTACATCTCAGGCATTACCCGGATAGAATATTCGGCGTCCAGGTAGTGAAAGTGGGTTTTTCTCGGGGTACTCCCGTTTACCTCCCACAACAAATTTCTGGGTATATGATCTATAGATCCCCACCCGTTGACTTTGTGCTACTCCCCAGCAGCGAGCTGCCTTCGGTTGATTTTGGTTTTTGTTTGCCTGACCTAAACTGGTTATTTAAGCTAGTATCAATATTTTTTGCACGCAGCAATTTCATACAAGATCTAGTCAAGTGCGGGGGTGAAGAGAAATATATTTCTGAGCACCCCCGGTTGCGATCGAATCTATACTTTCAGTTTAGGGTGGAACGTTTAAAATAAAAAAATTACAATCAATTTTGTTTGTTGTCCTATGTCAGAAGTCTTCAGGCTGATTGCCATTCACTGCTCCCATCGTGTTTCATTGAACAGGTACTTGGCAACGTTTAGTGTTAACATCTACAAGGATAAGAAGATCGTTTTGTTGATGGTTAAAAAATATTGTGATGTCTCTGTCATATGATAGTTTCTATCAGTTCTTGCACTATTATGACATTGTTCTTGTCCAATAGTTTTTCAATGCTTCCTGTTCTCATTTCTTGACTACAGGCATTCCAAGATATTATACAAACACATTTCCTACTCATCCTCTCTCTTTTATTTACTTTCTCTTCTCCCTTTTGCCCATCTTCTAAATGTATGCCTTGAGACATGTTTGTCATTGCAGGTATTCAGAGTTGTATTAATATTGCTGCTAATGGATCGGTCAACAGCTAGGATAAGCCCAGAAGCAACTTTAATGCCCTAGGGCTACTAGGATTCAAGTATGTTTGTTTGAAGTTAAGCACAAAGCTACACAATGGGCTATCTGTGCTCTGCCCACCACGTGTATCAAAACCCGGTTTCTAGCGTTGTAAGTCCGCAAACAAACCGCTGTGCCACTGGGAGCTAGTTGGTTGAAAAATAGATAACTGAAAGGGAATTGTGACCATATACTTTCCAAGCTACCAAGTGATATTTAGTAGGAAACATTGGTCAAATATTTTGTAATAATAAATAGCCCGTTCTATCTAGTAGGGTGCATTGGAATTTATGTGTAGTAGAGTGTACAAAACTTGCTAGATATACTGCTAGGACAACCGAGACTGTCAGATGAAAATCCTGGGAAGTTGCAGTTGGGTTTAACCATTAATGATAACTGAGGTTTCTGACAAATAAGATGAAAAAAATTGTAATCTCTGCTTACTGAGCACTCAGGTTAAGACGTTTTGTGGTACATTTTGGCAGGTGTTTGCCTGTACAAACTTCCTCAGCGAGCTCGTGATCTTACGTGACTTTGTTTTTGTCACCTAATAGTCTAGTTCAGGGTTTTCCAACCTTTTTTGCTCTTTCGGAGCACTTTTAACGGAAAACATTATTTACGGAGCAATATCATCTGTAAAATTTTAAACAAACCTCATGGATTGGGAAAAGAAATGCATAAAAACAATTACCTTTATTGGATAATTTCAAATAAAAGACAAAAAAGAAATATTTTTGGCACAATTTAGTGGCTCACTTGAGGTTGCTTCGTACTGCAAATTTTTTCAATATCAGGAGTTATTGATGCTATCTGTAAACGAAGGTCATTTTCTATGTTCAATCTATTTCTAAATTTGGTTTTGGTAACAGCATATAACGAAAACGATTTTTCACAAAGGTATGTTGTTGGGAAACGCATCAAAAACTTCAGTGCCTTGATCATGATTTTTCTGTATTCCGTATATATCTTAATCCAAAAATCAGCAATTTCCTCTACTTGAAAAAAGTTAATAATGTAGAGTCGGTGGGAATTTCTATAAGTTGCTCTTTTTCTTTCAAAGACAATTCATCTGTGTTCACAGAATCAGTGAAGGGATTTTGAATCCAAAGGAACTTCTCGACATGTAAAGGAAAGTATTCAACATTGGTTGTTCTCATATCAATGTTGCACGACAGAATCTTTTACGTCTTTATCCAGGGAAATTCCATTATCAAGTAAAAATTCACAAAGATTATCAAAGCAATCATAATTTTCCCCCTAAACACACTCACTCCAAAGTTTTAGCATGCACTGAAGTGTATTAATCCTACTCTGACCTTTGAAATATGTTACATTTTTGCCCTGCAATGCAACGTTTATTTCATTCAGATATGAGAATATATGTGAAAGGTAAGCCAATCCCTGCAACCAACACGTATCACTTAATTTGTAAGAAAGCTCATATGGATGTTGGGGCAAAAAAACGTAATCTCCTCACGCAACTCGAAGAATCTAGCTAAAACTCTGCCTCAAGACAACCAACGAACCTCTGTATGCAGTAATAAAGTTGTATGGATGATTCCCATATCGTTACACAATGAAGAAAAAATTCTTGAATTAAGTGGTCTTGATTTTATGAAAT